AGTACAAGCTGGCCGAGTACCGCTACGGCCGAGAGGAGATGTTAGCACTTTATATCAAAGACAACAAGGTTGGTGGGAAAACTGCAATGTTCCTCTCAGGATGGATAAATCACAGAATATGAAAAATGGTATTTAATTGTTTTGAAAAGTTGAGGATGTTATTGGTGCTAAAAGTGATGAGGCACATTCTAAACACTTTTTGGCTTTCTAAGTGCCTGTTCTTTTTTTTTTTAGGTCCCAGAGGACATGCAGGATAAGGAGTTTGCTGCTATTCTGCAAGATGAGCCCATGCAGCCACTGGCACTGGTGCCTCTCACTGAGGAGGAGCAGGTCTGCCACAAACACTTGCTCACAGACACTGCTACCTGTTAATTAGAGCTGTTTTCATCTGAGATACAACCTCAGTTCCAGATTGAGCTCTTCTCTTGGTTGACAAATGTGGCTATGAGCTAACATTCCTCACATTCCTCTCTTGCTCTTTCCATTCTGTCTGCAGAGGAACTTCTCCATGTCTGTGAACAGTGTGGCAGTGCTGAGGCTCATGGGAAAAGGGGGGGGCGGAGCTGCCCCAGCTGGAGTGGTCCGAGGGCGAGGGGCCACACGAGGTGGTCGAGGTAAAAACTAAAGGCAGAAAAATCCCCCTCCCAGACAACCATTAGAAGAGAAACAGCAACAAAAAAAAGTAGAGCATTGATTCAGCCTAAGTGCTCTTATGATAAATCCACAACCACATGCACTAAAACTAAGTCCAACACCAACAGAAATGCACCAAAAACGCTTGGCTGAAACTAGAATGGCTACTATCCAGTGAAAGGAAAACAGTTTATTCAAGCCACCCTCTGAAGTGTTTATTTCCTCTTTTTCTTCCACCATCTTGATGTAGCACACTTCCTCTTGGCCTGTCTGAACAGATTTGATTTGATTTGATTTATTCTTTCCAGCATGTAAAGACAGTTGATATGTCAACACACATAATTTTACACATATCCAACAAATGCTAATCCAATATCACTTTGCTTATACCTAGAACATGCTTGAATGGAGTAGGAAGAAGTCAGACTTATCCAGTCCTACCCCATGACATCATCTTATCATCATTGGTTTGCAAGCAGTATCTCTACATAAATAATTCTCTTCTACACCACACAAGTAATATACTAAAGAATTATTACAGTGTTAACATTCATACACCACACCCACAATGTTCCATCTAATTAATCATTGAGCCTGTTCTTGCATATATCTTGATTGACACATACCTTTATATTTGTGTTTAAACTCGTAAATTCTATTACTATTTTTTATGTCCACACTTAAATTATTCCATAGTTTTACCCCACTTATGGAAATACAAAATCTTTTTTTGGTTGTACGTATAGCATGAATTTTTAAATTTAACTGACCCCTTAACAGCCCTCCCATCTAAAACCAACGGGCTTATGATCTCACCTCATGCACACACAGCACTCTGCACATATGAATAGCCAAGCTAAACACTAGCCGCCCAGTTCAGGACAACTAAGGAAACAACTGAGAAGAGTGATGTTGTGTGGACCTCAGTGTTGGTGTGTGTGGCTGTTGGCAAACAATGGTATAGGACATTTTTTTCATGTATGTAAGTGTTTGGTAAATTATTTAAAAAACAAAATGATGAGGCTGATTAACAGAACTGCAGGCGACTGCAGAAAATGAGTTGAACCGTTTCAGAGGGCACGTTCTTGCCTTCTGATGATGGTTATATTAAATATAAACACCACCCCCTCTGTGTTTGTGTGTACATAATCAGGACGCGGCCGTGGTGAAGGTGGATTCTACCAAAGAAGTATTGAAGATGCAGAGGTGGGTTTCGGCCGTAGCGTCCGAGAGATACACCGCAGCCAGAGCTGGGATGACCGGTAAGAAAAACAATACCTGAACTTCAGGCAGTGTCAAATCACTTATGGCTCCAAGTGCTCTACGGTTTAGTAACTCTTCACTGGTGAGGGGAACTGTCATCCAGTGCAATAAACTCTATAATCTGCTCTGGTATTTTTGTAGGTTCTTGCTTTCATAAGGTTATTTATCTCACTCTTGCAGGCATCTTCTTTTTTTCTAGCTAGGCTAAACTCAAGTATACTTTGTTACGTTTCTTCAGCAGTTTTTCCTACATGGGCCTGAATAAAATGCTTGAACTGGTATC